AGACCTCAGCAAGGGCTGTCCTGTTTCCCAGGAAGCTGCTGTCAAGCTGAGGCGCTTGCCCTCAGTTCCCGCCTGAATCGTGCTGCAACTGTGCCACAGCTGCACCAGCGCCTGGCCACGGACCCCAGTCCTGACCCTGTGGACTGAGCGGGGATGTGCTTGGTGACACCCCCATCCCCAGGGAACAGCCTTCCCTGACAGGGATGGAGAGTCACTGACAGGTGTGAAACGGAGGAAAGACACAACATGCCTAAGATCTGATCAAATCTCGCTTTTCTCATCTGGAGTAGGCAGAGGGTTAATCTGATGCAGCCTTTAGCTGCTGCCAGTCAAGTCACACCTCAGGGGACACAGTGTGTCACTCCATCCCTGCTTTTGCTTTGAAGTGGCGTGGGAAGATGGAGCTGCTATTCATCCTTACCGGAGGAGTATCAATGCCGAGCATCACAAGGGATTCCCTTGCCCTCTTCCCTTTGAAAACCAGCTGGCGAGTGGACTGAAAATCTTCCTTTAATCGTCTGGACAGACTGCTGAACAGCAGCAGTCCGCTGCCGGTGTGTGGCAAGCGGAGCTAGACTATTTTTTCAGCCTGTCTCAACCAATCTATACCTGTTTTGCTTTAGGAGGCCAGCAATTTCCCTGCTACCAGCTTGGACTCTGTTGATTATCCCTGCTTCGTGTATCCATTTTCATGTATTTTGATGTAACACCTTATGAATCTCTGTCCTTTTTCCTTCAAAACGCAGATAAAATTGAAACTTGCCCCTTTCACTGTCCAGTCAGAGCTGGGTAATGCTGTTCTAGTCATTCTATAATATCTTTACAACAAATTTTTAGGACTTCAGAAATAATTTAGTTAATCAGACTCCACATTTCATCTAAGTCCAGCCACCTTTATCTGGTTGTTTTTTCTTTTCAGATCAATGTATGTACAAACGAGTCCACGTATAAAGCAGTTTATTCCACCAAATTGCTATCCAATGATGCAGACAGCACGTCTGCCACCACTGAAGTTTACTCTGGAGGGGCGGTCTGCTTGTAAACGTGTATTTGTAGATGAAAACACATCCCGTGCATGAAAATCTCTCAGGGAGATTTTCAGCGAAGCCTTTTTGACATGAACGGCTTATGACCAGCTCTGCCCTATGCTAATTGCCCATAAGCAAAGACGAAAGCCACCTTCTGCCTGCCGATGCCTGCCAGAGCCTGCGACCCTGCTGTGCCTACAGGCTCTCACTTTTTAGCGTTGATTCCGATGCTCAGGCTCTGCGCTCCAGATTTCACACCCCTGCAGCAAGACAGCTTCCTTCCACAGCGGCAGCGAGAGGAGGCAAACATTTCCCCTCTTCATCTTCACATATTCTCAGTCAAGAGGAAGGCTCGCGTTTCACCCGGTTGCCGTCTGCCGATTGTGGCTTTTCTTCCCCAGCAAAGGACAAAGCGCTTTCTATTTGCTTGGAAAACGACAGCCGGTTTGGTTCCTGCCGCGATGCTCTCCAGCAGTTCTGGGAAGGGTTGCTGTCTGCCCCACTGGCCAGACTGTGCATGGGTTGAAGCTGCCTGCAAGATTTATTTCTGTGTCTGGAAGCAGTCCCTCCCTGCGGTGTCCCAGGCACAATCTGGGCTTTTTTAATGGGATCTCTGTCCCCCATCCCTAGTTGCAAAACGGCTCTTCTGCCTTAGATCAGTCACAAGTCTTGCTCTCTCTCATACTGCTGTTTCCACTCAGCGCCACTTCTTAACATGTTTTTTCTCCTGTCCCAGAGCGCAACCAAATCCATGGAATAAAACAGAAATGTCTTTCACTCAGCGTGTGATTTTTTAACTGTTTTTTAACCTTTTTTTCTGATACAAACTAATAAAAACAACTTGTCTCAAGGAACATCATCTACAGAAATACTCTAGCCTTCAATAAAAGACAAGCACCAGGATGCAAGAGCAAGTGCTCAGAGTGAAGACCTGACAGCCTGATAATTGACTGTGCAGCCTAGGCATAGCCAAATACTTTCTTGCCCACAGCAGAAGATGGACTATAGAGCAACAGAACTGTGTTTCGACAGACAACCTTATCCTGATCTTCTGGATCTGCCATACTTGACTAATATCTAGATAATCTCTGTGTATATATTGGCTTATATTATATTCTTTCATACAAAAAAAATCCCACAAAAACTCCGAGAAAGTCTGCAGTGAAAATCTGGTTGCTCTTATTTCACATTCACGATTATGCTGTGAGAATTACACAGACACCGTGTCTTCCCTCTAGGTTACTTATCACTCCTTTTAAATGTCTTTTCTGCTATTCCCCCATTTTCTTTTCTCTCTAACCATATTTTATTCCAGGATCATGGACATTTAGTCTATGTAAGTGCATAATGAGGACACTGAGACCAAGTGTAATTAAAATCCTTCTAAGTAAAATGATTACATATTCAATCAACAGAAACATACTTAAAATTCTCCCTTGATTTTAATCTGTTGGCAGTGGCAGCTGCTGCTTCCAGTGAGTGGTCTTTCTGTATGCATTGACTCTTCCAGTCAGCAGTATTACATCAATAAATGCATATGCCTCTCGTGCTCTGATTAAATAACTAAACCAAATTATCTGAATTCTATCCAAAACCTTTGTGTCTCTGATTTAAATTTTATTTTCAATACTCTGAACTTCAGATAGCTACGTTAAGGCAAGTGACTTTCGAAATTATTCCACTGCATTTAGGTAGGCAAAAGAATGCATTTTATTTGTATATTGCAGCAAATCCCTGAAGACCAACCTATAACTTGTTTTGTAAGTTCTAAACACTTTTAGAAGGGGCATAGTTAAATAGTTAAAACAGACAATACGCTGCAAAATGCAGCTATTTGATTTTGCTCTGTTTGTCCTGTAATTAGCATATGGAAGACAGAAACTTAGCTGGGATTTCCATTTACTACCATCAGAGAAATCATCATCTAAATAGTCGACATATTTTAAAATGGTACACAAACAACAATTGAAAATACTGAAAAATAACATACAATGTGAAGAAATACATCACAATACAATGGTAAAATATGAGAAAGCATGGGCATTTCTGTCAATAAAAGGAATGGGAAGTACCTTTGCTATCTAGTTTCCAGGTTCTGTCATGTCAGGTTTACTTGCTTTGGCTCTAGTTTTCTCACAGATATTTTCCTTACCAAAAAATAATGAAAAAAGTCTGCATAGAGAGCACAACAAGTTGTATATGAAATTAAAATAGAAACTATATTACAGAACTGTTGGCAAAAAAGAAGTGCAGCAGTTCCCAGAATGCCCTTCAGGACTTCAAAAAGTGCTGGTATGTGGTCAGTGCAGTGTCTGCTTTTCAGGGCTGATCATCCACTTGGTTTGAGAACACGAAATATTTTTTTCAAACCTTAAAACACATGGAAGCGCTGCCTGGAGAAAACATGATTTATAAGCAAACCTCATAAAACCTTTGAAGTCTTTGGGCTCCCAATATTTGGGAATATTGGTGCTATGCATGTGCTGCCAGTGTGCTGCCAGCTGTCGGAGACACCCGATACGCAGCATGCTGCGATCGACATACTTTGTATACATGGCCTGAAATAGGGGTGAAGGAAAGCAGTGGAGAAACAGTGACCCGAGGGATTGGATTTTAAGTTTTTGGCTTAGAAGAACGTGTTTACACACCAAAATAATGCCATTTTACTCTACATGTAATTAGCTTGTGTCATCCCTGGTACATCAACTAAAAGGTACTCGCCTTGTAACAGTCGATTCTCCCGTAGAACAGCAGAACTAGCTGTAGCAGTTAGTCCGTCTATAAATGGTGCATGCGAGGAATTGTGCAACGTCGCTCTACTGGAAAAGAGATCGTAACCCTACCACCTCACATTCTTCTCACGCCGGTACAACTACGTGTTGATCAAGCCTTAATGGGGGCAGCAATTTGGCACGGCTGAGACTCTCCCTGCAGATAACAGAGAAAGGCAAAACAGTCAAGGAGGAAAAGACTGAAAATATAGTGAAGAGCTTCATAGCTGACTAAAGTCTTAATAGTTAATACATAAAATAAGCCAGTACTTTAAACAAAGGCAGATAATACTCAGTTGAGAAGCAGTCATGAAATCTTTTTCTAATTCAGGAAGTGCTCAAAACTGATTGGGGAATTGGAGTGTATATTTTTTATGGTTTAGTGACTGAAAATGATGATACAAATGAAACCACTGAGCAAGAAAGTTCATTTCAGGCTAATGCACAAACAGAGCTGGAAAAACTCAGGGCTCCATTATCCTATAAAAGTAGTCATGGCATTTATCTTTACCTGATGTCGCATGTTTTTCTAGTAAACAGCCTTACAGATGATGGCCATAACTATCATTTTTCAATAGTGGAAGCGTTCACAAATTTAAACATAATTGTAAAAAATTGTTTGATTAAAGACATGCTTTTCAAAATTTCTGAGAAGAAGAATTTTGTTAATTAGAAATACTGAATTGTCCATCCTGCCTCTGGAACTCAATGTTTGTCACTCAGTGTATGTCCCTGTCACTCCTTTGTTTACTCAAAGATACCTTTTAATAAGAGGAAGACAGAATGATAGATAGGAAAATACAATTTTCCTTTTTTAAAAAATTCTTTACTAACTACTAACCACAACGAAATGAAATATGCAGTGCAAAGCACTTCATTTTTGCTGATCTGAATGGCATCAGCCAGAGAGAAAGAGGGGTCAGGATCTGTCCTCACCTTTGCAGCGCTCATTACTGCTGGTCACAGACCTGGGCGTCCCAGCTCTCTGTGAAAATCCCTTCCCTCCACTGACTACAGGGGGGCCGCATCAACCTCTGAATGCATTTACAGCAGCCCATTTACACCAGTGGAAACGTTTGGTTTGTCAGGGAAGGGATTTGGATTCGGAGGCAACATGCAGCCCTGTAAACGCGTGCTCCCCAGGCAGTCCCCCAGCCCGGGGGGTGCAGAGCGGCTGCATGCAGGCTGCTCAGCCCCGACAATGGCGGTGGCTGTGCTCATGCGCACGGTGCTGATTGCAAGTCTCCTCTGTTGACCTTGTAATCCTAAAACATCACTTTTTTTCCCCCCACCCCCCACCCCCCGTATGTTTTCCATTCCAAGTGCCAAAAAAAGAAAATGTGAGGACAGCGTGGTTGTAACATGATGTGGAGGGCACGCGCTGCACACCGTGAGGGCATGTAGGGGTTGAGATGATGTCGGGACAGCAATGGAGGACTGGGGAGAGAGCAAGGAGCCAAATTTAGTGCAGTCTCATCTCTGCTGCCATCTGGAACAATGTCTGAGGTGAGCCCTCCAGACACACTCTGATTTTCTCCTGCAGGGAACCAGCTGCTTTGATCCCAAAGAGAAGCTGGGACCGAAGCAGCGTGCATGCAGTAGACACAATCGGGCATGGACGCAGGAATGAACCAGAAAACTAAGGCAGATGCTCCCTATTGCAGCCCCCCCCCAATCCATAGGAAAAATTGGTATTTTTATCTAGCAGAAGAAGACAGCAAACTAATGGAAACTGAAGCTGGAAAAATTCAAACCAAAGTGAAATAAACACTGTAACAGCAGAATTAATTACTCATGGGAAATGATATATTCGTTGTAACTGCATCTGGGTCGACATTATTGAGCCTCTTCTAACAGTAGAGCAGCAGAGTGATGGGCACAGTATAACAGTTTGTGACAGAACAAAGATAAACACCCATCACAGAAGCAGTCCTGAAAACCAATTATTTAACTACATAGGTTTGTATCTGTCTTCTATAAAATAACATTAGCTATATATGGCACTAAATAAGTTACAAATTCCTCCACAGTCTGAGAGAAATTCTGATCTCTCACCATTCAACAAAAGGACATGGTGTTTTCCTCCGAAAATTCCCTCTGCCGATACTCTAATCATATTACTGCTTCTCCAGGGGGGGAGGAAACCTAAGGAAATGAGAGAAACAAGAACCTGTGAGTATAACACAAGGCACAGACACACGTTCTCATAAACCTCACTTCACATTCAATATAACTGTTGAGTTTTACCAACAGTTTAAATCACAATGACAATGAAACTGAAGACTCCTATTGACGTTAATATAACTACCTTGTACTTCCTTATTTTCTTCCAGCAGCTTGAATTATTCAGAGTAACAGGAAAACAAATGTGTGTTATGGTTTACAGCTGCTGAGTTGAAGTAAAGTTGCAGAAGTTGCAGATTTTTTTTTTTTAAAGTGACAGTTCTTTTCAACCTTCAAACAAGTTTTCAATTAGGTTGGGTTAGCAGGGGTCAGAAAAGATGAGAATTTCATAGTATCTTTCAAATATCAAATCCTTTCCCAGGGCAATTCAAATCCTGTGAGGCCTCCTCGTGTGTTTTCTAGTGCTCACTTGCGCAGCAGTAGCCCCTTATCAAGGACTGAAAGCAACGAGCTGTCGCCTATTGCCAAGATCTTCCATAGCGTACTGCGAGATCAAAGCATAGAGCTCAGGAAAAAAATACTTAGGTAGCAAACCAGTTCTCTGTCTAATTAAAAAGCCTTAAGTCTACATTTATTAAAATTCAATTTTCCACAAAATGACCTTTCTTTCCGGTAATGTTCAATGACGGACACATCTATGAATACATGACTCGAACTTATCTACACAAGGGCACTGAGATACCCCTGCTTCTGCCCCAGGATCTGCACCAAGGACCACATGGTTCAGCCAGCACATCTACTTCAAACAGCTCCTTCAAGGTGTCCCACAACAGCTTGTTTTCTGTGAGGAAGGGTGGTCAGAAGCAACCCACCCACCTTCTGCTTTATCTGCTGCAGCTCTAGCTAGTTTTTTTGCTAACCAGATGGTCTTTGTCTTACAAACAGCGGGTCCCCAACTGAGAAGCTGCAGACACAAAGCTAGGTATGGCGGGTAATTACTGGACATGGTGAAAGTCTTACTAGGATAGGAGCCAATTTTACTGCATGTGAGAAACCACAGCTGGATCGCTGGTTTCTTGAACCAATGAGAATTCAGACCTTTTTTGCAATTTTTTTCCACAAACAACAGATTTAGGAGCTCAAATACAACATTAAAAAAAACCAAAACCAACAACCCTACACCCTTAAAGGTACTTCACTGTGCATTGTCAGGCCCGGAGTACACAAACCGGTGCTACAACCTCTTTCCCCTTCGCCCCCCACCCATGGGCCTGCCACTCCTCAAGGTCAGCTTCGCTACGGTGGAGTTGGGTAACTTTGGATCAGGCTGCTTCGACAAGCGGGGTGTGAGAAGGAGCTGCAAGGCGCATTATCCGGGGCCTCTGCCCCCCGGCTCAGGAGCTGCGTCTGAGCTCAGGCCCTTGCTACCAGCCCTTGCCTGAGCCGCCTGACAGATATGCCTGTACCTGGCTGCATCTTTTGCTGATTCCGTGGTTGCCTTGTTGATTTGACTTCCCGGCTTGGCCTCAGACCTGTTTCATTGCTGCGGATGTTTCTGTGTAATGTTGTACTGTTGTCATTCAATAAGCAGTGGAATTAGTGAATCCTGGTCTATCACGGATTCGCATACACTGCAATTCCTCCCCGCCACCCCTTACATCCCCCACCCAGGAAACACCGGGGCTGCTCTCACTGTGTCTGCAAGACCTCGCCTGCATTAAAAGCCCGAGTTCCCAACCCGCGTTGCTTCCCCACCGCCATCACACCTCGAACCCCCGGCTATGTAAGGCCATGCACGATGTGACAGCCCCACGGCTGCGCTGACTCGTCACCGGGGCTGACGGGGCAGCAGCAGATTAACCGGGGCAGGTAACTCTTGCAGGCACACATCAGCCCTTCCTTCACTGGCAGCACCCATTTGCCCAAAGCTCACAGGAACTTCGTATTTTTGTAATCCTTCACTTCTCTGCCAAATTTGCAATGCATTGGCCAATAGATACAAAAGATATCGAAGGGAAAGGGTGATACAAACAGTAGGAGACAAGATAAAAAGCATTACTTGAGTGCTACTGATATGTCAGATTTCAAACATGATTATGTGTTGTCTAGCCATATAAAGAGAAGTTTCAGAAGTTTATTCCATTAGTATTCACTAATTATGCAGCCAGGAAATAAGCAGCCAAGTAACTAAGGAACAAATTGACAAACTGACATAGAACTAAATAATTCTCACAGAAGGCTCCTTCCGGACTTGCACAGCAGTGCTTGTGTCTTGTAACTCGTGGAGGTGATGAAGTAGGTTTGGGAGGACATCAGGCCTCCAACTCCTGTTGCGCAACTTACACTGGAAAGACTAACATAACGCTCAGATTCTAGATGGACATGCCAAAATGCCTCCACATTGCCGCAGGTAAGACGTGCACAGTGAAAAACTTCATATTTATGCATCAGATAAACTGTAATAATAGGTCCCTGTTTTCTCTCAAACAGCACCGGGATGTAAACTGTGATCCCCTCATCTAACAGGGGTTTGTATTCTCAGAAACAGATTCTTTGCAAATTGTAGATCCTCGGTAGCACAAAACTAATGTATTAACATTTTTCATTTTTTCTGTTTCCATTGGGTGGTTTCTTTTGAATCCTAGTACACTGGTGTTCCTACTCAAAGTACCTGTAACAGAACAGCATTTGTCTTGTTCTTTGAACACCTCCCCCATCTTTGCTGCATCTCACCTGGCCGTTCATATTTTAGGAAATTTGAAGTGAAAGTTTCCCCACATTTTCCTTTCAGTTTAGCAGTCTCTTATCTTTCTTTGAGAGTTTTATTGTAGCATTCAGTTCTTCATTAGCCTGACGATACAATGCTGATTGTTGTCTATGTACAATGACTCCTCTTTTCCTCAGGAAAAATATTGACGTTGGAAAGATATGAATTGTTCTCTGTTTGCAGACATTAGTTTTCTGAGCTTCTTTCTCTGCTGAGAAGAGTAAATGGAAAGTCATGACTGAAGCAGAAGGACCTGTGATAGAGGCTACTTCTGGCCATTTACTGAAAAAATCATTTAATAAGACACCATAGCATTAGTCAATGACAAATGAGTAACGAGGTCTACAGTGTCGATTGCCAGCTTTTCCTACACTCGATCAAATAAAAACATAGGGTGGCGTCACCCTGTACCAACCCACTCTTGTTTTGTCGGGTGAGAGAAGCTTTTAGAGTAGCTTGAGCATCCAGCCCTGGCTACTGATGGAGAAATTACATTCACTGTTATGACAACCCACTGATGTGCATCATGAGCAAAGTGTATTGATTTTGCCTCTAATTCCTCCAGAATAATACATTTATAAGTTATTTCTCTGTCTTGCAGAGAAAGTTCAGTCCAATTCAAAATATAGCAGAGATGAATTAGATTTGTTAAGATTATTAGTCTATTTTGCTGTCAGGACACCATGTAATTTCTGCTCAACAAGACAGACTAAACAAGTAGCTTTATGTTGTTCTTCTGAAACTGCAGCAAAGACATATCTGATTTGTTCAACTGCTTCCACAGCAGAAGACAGTACTTCTGTCTTCTTGGGGGACAGACAATTTGGGGAAGACAAAGATGGGTAAAACAAGCAGCCAAACATCACATTTTCATCTCCTGATTTGTTTTCTATGTCACATATAAAGAAAATAATTTTACTTGACACTTCTCTGAGTCTTTTCAGTGTTGACTGTACAATAATGGGCAAAGGAACATGATCTGTGTGAAGCTGAATTTATGGCCAAAAGACAGGGTGTCTCTTTTCCTATTACTGTTACGCAAGCCAGTATTTCTTCTCCAAGGTTGGAATACTTTTCCCTCAGCTTCTGTACTGATTCTTGAAGAGCCCATAATGGTCTTCTCAGGGTTGACCTCATGTCTTCGGGTAAATGTGTCTACAAAACACTATCCTGAGGTATTTCAACCTCATTCAGCAAAGAAAAAGTAGCACAACATTATAAACTCTGGTTACTTGCAATTACAGTGTTCACCAACTCAAAACGTAGCTGTGCCACACTTGTTCAGGACTCACTTTAGATTTCATGATTTAAACATTTTTACAGATGAAGCATAGTTTGGAATTAAA